TCCAAGAGTGTGGCTTCCGGTCCCCTGCCTTAGCTTTCGAGGCCGGATATTTTCCGGACTTCTTTCATCATGGGTACCCATACCAATGCAACACGTAGGCCGTACCTGAGCAGGCCTATGCAAGAATCTTCCCCCCCCCCCTAAAAAAAAATAAAACAGTTTCGTCTACAGTGGGGGATTGAGGTTGCATGGAGGTTTACCAGATGCCATTCAGAAACAATACAAGAGGGTACTGCTTGCTTACTTCATCGTTCTCAAAATACTATAAATGCTATATAGGCATTTTCATTTCTTGGATTTGGTTCTGATAAGATTTCCGATGTTCAGTGTTTTTAGTTCGAGGTGTTCTTTCCCCTAAGAGTAATATTAGCTCTGCTTAAATTTGACAACGACCAAAGAATACAAATATCACGTCAATGGGAGCAAGAGAGACCTTTCTCGATAAATTACATTTTTGTGAGAAAGCCAAGAAAGCCAAAATGTTGAAGAAAGCCAAAAAGCCCGCGCCGAAGAAGTCACCCAAGAAAGCTGACAAGAAAACTCCATCCAAGTCAACTAAATCATCTGCCAAGAAATCCTCCACCAAGCCAGCCAAGCCAGCCAAGAAGCCAGCCAGCAAGAGCACATCGAGCAAGCAGAAGAAAGTGTCGGCCAAGCCTTCGAAGAAATGAATCATCGAATCAACAAACTAAAACCAAAACGGCTCTTTTCAGAGCCACAACATTTTTTACAAAAGAGATAGTCCTTTCCTGCACTTTGAAATTTTTATGTATTTTTTTTTTGTCATGATTACAATTTTCAAGTGTTCCTTTTTTAATTGTTTCGTATTAAGCCCCCTCCTCACCAAAAATGAATATTTAAATAAAACCCAGAGAGAGATAGAGAGAACCCCCCCCCCCCCCCACACCTCCGCCAACAAAAAAAAACAAAACAAAAAAGCGTAGTAAGCGGGTAAAAAGAGTGGTTGCAGAATCATGGTGGGTGGGCATAACGTGAAAGTGAATTCAACAACTTCAGATCAACAATTCACCTTAATAATATAACCAATAATTTGTCCATGGTAGGGCTGAATGTTTTGAATCAGCGCGGAAAGAAACCGAGGCAAGCAGCATCGGCCGCCGTAAGAGTGTTGAGGGCGCTATAACGGTCAACTATCGTTGACAGTCCTATTTCGGCAAAGTTCGTGTAGTATTTAACGATTAATTTACATTTTTGTGAGGGCCTGTCGTCGGTAGAAAGAGAGAATCACCCACAATAAGATGGCCCCGCTTCAAACTCTTGAAATATCGCTGAAGGAAACAAAGTGAAATCAGCTAAACCGATAAAATACAAAATTACCGGTCAGCGGCGAAGTGCCCACACGTCATAAACGCCCATTTATATCATATGGCTTTTACTAATCACGTACAATTTTATATCAGTGGAAAGATCAAATCACGTAGTAGCCGCTTGGATCAGTTTCAAACTCTAGAAATACCCCTGCAATAAATAAGGAATCAAAACACTTGGAATGTCAAACACAAAATAAGAGAAATGCCGAGAAACGGGCCACCGCTCCTCGGCTGGTTGGGCTTGCATGATCATGAATGGGCATTGTTGTGCGTCCGCGCCGCGACCGCAGCGTATCGTTAAAAGGCGGCCAAAATTTTCTGTGAGGCAATTACTCGTCTTCCAGTTTCAGCATCTGCTCGATTGTTCAACAGCAAATCTCGT